CCACTTCATTTTTTTCACATGAAAAATAGAGATCGAAAAGGACAATATCAACGTAGGGTTTACTGTATTGAATTTATAGAAATCATTTCTATTTGTAGCATTGCGTGTTTTCCAACCTAGTTAATTTATACAACTACAAGTTCAATATAACAACCCAAAAAAATGGGATAAAAATATTTATAATTAAGTAATTTGGTGGTATCAGAACTTTCGGTTTTAAACACTTTGACTGTGGATGAGTCCTAAACTCTGGATTTTTAAGAATTTTAACCTGACAGGGAAATAATGATTAATTGGGTGATTTTTCGGGAAAATCGTCTGTTTTCCAGCCTAGTTAATTTATACAACTATAAGTTCAATTAATATTTCATATTTTCCACGAACTCAACGTGGTCTTTACTTTCGTTTTAAAAATTTTCTCAGATTTGGGTAGGGTATTCGCGTACGGAAGCAACCATGTTGCAACATTATTATTTGTTAAAGCTTCAGTTGCAACATTGCGTGTTTTCCAGCCTAGTTAATTTATACAACTACAAGTTTAATTATTTTTGCAGCCCCGTTCAAGTATTGTCCGAAATTAGGGTATGAGGTCAGCGTATGGAAGCAACCAAGAGAGTTCACTCACTTCATTTTTTCCACATGAAAAATAGAGATCGAAAAAGATAAAATCAACGTAGGGTTTATTGTATTGAATTTATAGAAATCATTTCTTTTTGTAGCATTGTGTGTTTTTCAGTCTAGTTAATTTATACAACTACAAGTTCAATGTAACAATCCGGAAAATAGAATAAAAAATATTTATAATTAAGTAATTTGGTGGTATCAGAGCTTTCCGTTTTAAACACTCGGACCGTGGATGAGTCCTAAATTCTGGATTTTTAAGAATTTTGATATTATAAATATCACCAAATTACTTAAAAATCCGGAGTTTATGACTCATCCACGGTCCGAATGTTTAAAATCAAAAGCTCTGATAACACCAAATTACTTAATTATAAATATTCTTTATCCCATTTTTTCGAATTGTTACATTCAATTATTTTTGCAGCTCAGTTCAACAATTGTCCGAAATTAGGGTAGGGGTTAACGTATGGAAGCAACCAAGAGAGTTCGTCCACTTAATTTTTTCCACATGAAAAAACAGAGATCGAAAAGGACAGTATCAACGTAGGGTTTACTGTATTGAATTTATAGAAATCATTTCTATTTGTAGCATTGCGTGTTTTCCATACTAATGAATTTATATTTGATTTCTAAGTTGTTGAAAATTCATGGAAGCAACCAAGATGATTCATTCACTACCTGTTTTTTTTATTTTCACACGGAAAAGACTAAAGAGATATCATAATGGAGAAATCTGACTTGTTTTCTTTGTCTCTAAATCCCAAAAACAATCGAAAACGTGTTTATCATGCCTTCACCCAATCAAGAAAGTTTTTTTGATATCATCATTTTCAGAAACATGTATAGTTTTCATTTTCCTTTTTCTGCAATTTATTATATTTTTCTATGAATTTTGTTAAATATTCATTTTACTTAAAGAATCGAAAATGCGTTTATCATGCCTTCACTCAATCAATAAAGTTTTTTTGATATCATCATTTTCAGAAACACGTATAGTTTTCATTTTCCTCAATTTATTATATTTTTCTATGAATTTTGTTAAATAGTCATTTTACTTAAAGAATTGAAAATGCATTTATCAAGCTTCACCCAATCAAGAAAGTTGATTCAGCAAATAATTTATTAGTTGTCTGACCTTACCCTAGGCCTTTTACCTTTTACCTTGTTTGTTTTAATAAAAAAATAATTGCAACTATCTCATTCCTATTTTTATTCCCTGACCTAAAAATATGTACGCTTTTTTTTATCTTGATATGATCTCAATCCGTCGAAAATATGTACATTCTATTTAACCTCGATCTAATCCGACTCGAATTTTTAAATTATAAATCCAGCCTGACCCGATTTGATATAAAATAAAGATCTAATAAAAAAACTATAGAGAGATAGAATATTATATCAATTATCCATAAATATAATAAAAATTTACACTGTTACTCTAGGTCGGGTCGGGTCGAAGGTTTTTTACTCTCTACTTGATCCAATTCGACCCGACCGCACGCCTATATAAAATTCGATCCAACCTCAAATTAAAAAAATCAACTCTATCAAATTGAGTCAAATCAACGTCAATTTTGAGTTAAATTGCAATCCATACTCTTTTCTCTATTTTTCTTAATTTCGTTTCATAAAAAGTATCATTTCACTAATTTAACCCTAGGTCTTTTACCTTTTACCTTGTTTGTTTTAATAAAAAAATAGTTGCAACTATCTCATCCTATTTCTATTCCCAACCAAGTAAATAAAATAAATAACTAAAATTATTCAAAAAGGAAAGTTTGTTGAAAACGAAACAGAAAAAACTGAAAATCAAACACTGTCGAGCCCCGCCATTTCGACCACCATGGCCAGCCACTTCCACCGCTCAACTCCTCTGCTTCCCACCTCCCATTCATTCCTTTCCAAGCTCCAAAGTACTTCTTAACTTCTGGAAACGGGAAAGCAGCTGCCCGTATTCAGGATGAGCTTCGTCCGAATGGTGCTCATAGATGGCACAATTACATTAAAGCTCCAAAGTATGGTGACTGTGTACTCACAGAAATCCATGATCAGATTACCTGATGCATTATTAGCATCACAAATAGATATCATCACTAATACATATCTCATGAATTATGCTTTGTACAATTTCTGTTTTTAAGAGAAATCAAATTAGACGAGGCTGCTGTTCTACACTACACGTACGCCAAATTTTCAGCCCTGACATCTAGACGTGACCGTTGTGGCTGCAAACCTACTAAGGAAGATGTCAAAAGGTGCTTCATGTTGGAATTTGATAGAGCTGTAAGTTTACTACCTTCTGTTATTCTTCTGAAGTGTATTAAGGAGTATTAGAGTATGGGAAACACAACAAGCTTAAGATACAATAGCTCGAGAGATTTGAGCCGGATATTTAGTTCTGTGATATAAAGACTTTTGGATTGACACTGACAAACCAATAGCAATATTTTGATTGATGTTTTATAGTGTCCCAACTCCCAAGCAATTCATAAGCAATATGTTAGTTCTGTGGTTAATATAGAACAATTGGCTTCTGGTTTGATATTATCTTGTATCTTGATTATCAACTGTTCTGTCATTGTCTACGTGAATGTTGTTCTTCGCAGGCATTTATAATTGCTTCAACCGCATCGGAGGAAGAGTTGCTTCACTGGTATAAACTTAAGCACAGCCTTCCCCCCCTTAGATGTGCTGCTTTTTGCACCGTTCAGCTTGATACTAATGTGTGGACCTACTGATGTAGAACTATTGGCTTCTGGTTTTTGCAGGTACCGGGAACACGTTGTTTGGGGCGATAACGACCTTAAATTGAAACTGCTGAGAAGGGGGATTTTAACTCGCATATACACTCCTATGGTAATGACAGTTATAGCATTTCTGAGAATAAGAAATCACAGGAAATGCAAACATTGTACGTGGACTACTAGCTTAGAATATGCATCTGTTAGGTATGGCTCATAAATATACCAGTAAAGAGGACAAGAGATGGAGCGGAGTGAGCGAAGCGAACATCAACTGTCCTTACAAAGAAAGTCTCGTTGTGGGGTTAAGAATTATGTGGGTTGGTGGTGCGGGGGCGTAGCCCCGCGGTACGGTACAAGGTTGATTTTGTAATTATGTACCAGGGTTTTCTATTATAAATAGAGATGTAACATAGACCTAAAATATCATTGAATAAAACTTCTAGCGCCGCCTAGGCACCGAGGACGTAAGCACATTGCCGAACATCGTAAAATTCTCGTGTTCTTTTGTTTTCTTTACCCGTTTTCGTCAACAGCATCAAAATTCTGGATCTTTTATTTAGTGTTACAGCTAAATATTGTTTTACAAGTAGTTTTGATGATTCCTGTCTTTGTTATAAATGTTATGGTTCCATGTCAGGCCATAATACAAGGTTTGCGGGAGTCGGGGGTGTTCAGATCTGTGATAGCAAATGCACCCACAACTGTTTCAAGGGACAAGTTTTTATCATCAACTGATAGTAGCAACTCATCAAGAACCGTGTCTTTTGTTTCAAGAAAGATTGGTAAGCAGGCATCATCTGGTAGGAAGGTATTGGGAATTGAAGCAGATGCAGCTGTTCCACCGTTATCACCTCCTTCCTCTATGAACAGACTCACAATGGCCACCACATTGTAGACAGCGTGGATGTTTCTATTTAAAGCAATTTTCTTGTTTATATGTATAGTGGGACAGATTTCGCTCTGCAACTTGGTGTTGAAGCATGGAATCTGGCATTGTAATTCTTAATGTGTAGATGTTACTTACATTTGAGCATGGCATTATTTCTTAGTCATTAGATGGAAATATAATTGCCTTATTGGTGATTTTCAAATCTTTTGGAAAATTTCTGTAATGGAAATAAGGATACAATGCCATGAATAAAGCATGGATATCATTCCTTTTATGCCACAATTGTGAATCTAAGATATTTAAAAAAAAAACTAGTTTCCTATCCGTTTATTCTTCTTGATATTGAAAATACATATTATAAATTTATACATACATAATATAATTTTGAAATTAAAATATAAATCAATAAGTTATTTAAGTAGACTTATACACGTAATTATTTATTTGTTGGTTCCCCTCCCATTTTCTAAGGTTTTGTCTTGATTAATCAGGTCCGACTCAGGTCGCACACCTAACTATGGTAGGTGAGTCTCCCTGTGTAAATGAAATCAAGCTGCCTACAAAGTCAAAATGATCCGTGGTGCCGTTTTAGGGAAAGTTTTCCATAACGGAAATAAGGATCGAATGCCATGAATGCATTGATATGTTTCCTTTGGTGCCAGAATTATGAAATCCTTTAAATACCTTACCTCCTCCGATATGATTCCACTTTGAACTAAAAGCATCGCCATTTGCCTCAAACCATGAAGTTCTTCACTACACTTGTTATCTTGTTTCTGTTTCTTTCATTTGGAAATCGAGTGGTAATGGGACAGAGCTCAGAGTGTGAGCAACCTTTTCCTTTGCCTGGGTGCAATCAAGATGATTGCAACAATCTTTGCATTAAGAAAATCGGGAAAACTGGGAAATTTCGAACTCCAGTTTATGGGGTTTGCTTCAAGTCTCAAACTTGTATCTGCCGTCAATGCTAAAACCTCATTTTGATTGAATAAACTCACTCCTTATTGCCCAAATATATTGACTGAATTTCATTTGCTTGCTCTGGGTCATTTATTATTCTCCTCCTCTCTGAAAGCATCAATTTCCAAATTGAAATTCTTCTCCAATTATTTAGATATTAGAATCAGTCTTCGGGGTCACGATTCATAAGGGATTGGAGCATGCTTTATTTTCTTATTTGGAAATTTACTTTAATGGACCAGCAGTGAGCAAGTGACCTTGCTATCAAAATTATTATAATTTATTAAGATGAATTTTAGAAAATTTAAAATTCCAATGTTTGTAGTAAAGTATAATATTAGAAAATGCCTCTTGTGTTTGATTAAATAATCATTTTAATTCTTTGTTCTTTTCAAGTATTTTGACTTAGGAGGACAAAAAATTCTTATATGGATGGAAATCGTTAGTCAACAAATGATCAATACTCCAAAATAGAGGACTTTTCTTCCCAAAAATGAAACATTGATCGTCAAAATGCTAAAAAAAATAGTTGTGACCAAGTGACTATTTAGTTAAATGTTATGAGCATTTTACGCTAAAATAAAATGTTTGAGGTCTAAATGCTCTAAAAAATAATAGGGTCAAAATAATTATTTACTCAAACACTAGAGATATTTTTTTACATTATACCATATATTATTTGGATAAATATTTTTAAGATAAATTATACTGTTATAACTTAATTTTATAGGATATGGTTATTAAATTCTAAAAATTTACGTTGAAATTAGTAAATTTTAATATTATTTTATTACCGTCACTAAATCAACTGTTGTTAATGACAATTGACCTGATATATCAACTTATTTTTTATTTTAATCTGTGAACTCTTAAAATTTACATTAAAAAACATTAATTTCAATATCGCTTTCACTACAATCATTATCGATTACGGTGAATGACAACTAATGTGACATACCCAACTGTGTTTTCTTAAGAAATATTCCTCTTAATAAAATGATAATGGTAATGTAAGTGATATTAAAGTTTAGTGACTATAATAAATGTTTTAAAATTTTAGTGATCACAGTGGAAGTGTATTAAAACGTTAGGACCAACACTATGGATTTAATTGTCAAGAGAAAGCGACATGGCTTCTCTAATATAAGCTATGGAGTCTCAGATGGCAATGGAAATCTCTTCCTCCATGTCGATGGCTCCTACATGACCCTTTACCGGAAACGAGTCATACGTAACTCTGCCGGATTCCCCATCCTTACAATTCGTGAAAAGGTATGATTTCTCTCTTCTTGCTATCTCATTCAATCTGGCACGTGAAAATACTTTATCATATGATCTCTCTGACACATTTTTCTCCCTTTTACTGCTAATATTTTTGACAAGGCAATCACCGGTAAAAAATGGATAGTTCATAGAGGTGAAAGTTCAGAGAGAAGTCAACTTCTTCTCACCGTGCAGCGATCGCGAATTCAACCAATGAAAACTAGTCTTGAAGTGTTCTTAGCAGGAAACACAGATAAAGATATCAGCAACTTCCTGGTTGTTGCTTCCAATTATCCATCTCAGTATATAAGAGTTTATAAAGGAGATACTATTACTGCTGAGGTAAATTGGCTTATTTTTTTTTTACCATGTTTTACGAATTAAATCAAATTTTGGTCTTTATAAAGGTTTTGTTTTTTTCCTTTTGTCACCTGTCAGGGTAAAAAGAGAATTTCAGGGTTACAGTTCATTCAGGAGTGGATTATGCATTCATTATAGTACTGAGTTATCCTTGCTGAGTGTTAATGACCTTATGTTACATATTTTTCTGCTTTCATCCTTTTCAAAGTCTTCCAAGTTCTCCATGTATGTATTTTCTTTGTGTACAAAAGAGGCTTAGCTTCGGGTGGTTGCATGAACCATCGGAGCTGAGCTTCAGGTTCTTCTCCATGTATATGCTGATATCAGATTTGACGAACTTGTCGATATATATCTTTGTTGAATGGATAATCCATCATATGTTGCAGCAAAACATGGTACAAGCAATCAGGAACAACTCACTAGTATTCAGGACAATCTATATGATCAATATGATTTAATCTGATGAGGCAATGAAGGAGATTTGACCTGTACAAGGAGCATATGACATGCATACCTCTAATGAGCTTAAATGTATAAACAATGTAATGCTTAGAAACGTTAGAGAATCATCTTTCCATAAATGATATGCCTTAAAATCAATAATAGGATTAAACAAGCAATAGACTACAGGCAATGAAGGAGATTTGACCTGTACAAGGAGCATATGACATGCATACCTCTAATGAGCTTAAATGTATAAACAATGTAATGCTTAGAAACGTTAGAGAATCATCTTTCCATAAATGATATGCCTTAAAATCAATAATAGGATTAAACAAGCAATAGACTACAACATGCCACTATTGGCTCTCATATGAAATTACATAGCATATGTAGCAAAAGCTTATGGGATTTCAAAAGTTGGTCCTTGGCAGATGAATCAGAACAAGAATGATGAACAATGCAAAATTATTTTAGAATGTCAAGGGGCCTAATATAAATATCATGTGCTTCAGTCATGTTGCATAGAAGATTAACATCGATCAAGTCTTCTCGGGCATACCGATTGGGGTTTCGGGTGTATAATCAACAAGTTAATTTGGAATGATCCATGAAATGTTATGGTATTGTTTGCAAGGATTCTTCGTTGGATGTTTGAGGACAATATACTCGGTGCAAAAGATCGAAAAGACTTGTAAAGCGTCCATTCTTAGAATCATGTTTTCAAAATAATACATTATATATCTGAACTTGTTTGATAGACATGTTATATGCTTATTGTTTACATGATGAGATAGAAAAAAATTGCTGATTGAGGGGGCTTGATTTTTATCTGCTATATTCTAATTAAAGAAACAAAAAGATTAAGAATGGAGGATACACCAGAATACAAGAACCTCTGCAGAAGGTTAGGTGAAAAAGCTGTGTATGTTGGAGGAAATGGCTATTATACTCGTTACAGCAGCCAAACTTATCATTACTGCAGATATAATCCGATCTCTTGATGTTGATATGCCATGAACATCCCTGCAATTGAAAAGGAAGAAAGGAACATACTTAGGAGGAATGTCTTTGAAGCTATAAACAAGATGCATTCAGGTCTCTTAGAAATGATACCTAAAAGCAATAGCGCCAGGGAAGACAAAGGCCAGGCTGACTGCAGAGGTCGATCCCATGAATTGAAAGAAATACCATATGTTAGGGATGGCTATGGCTGCCAAGTAAGAAATGGCTAGCAAAGTAAGAGTGAGGGACATGAATCTCATGTTATCCCTTGCCAGAACAGGCCTACTTGGGAAAAGGAATTCATCAATGTTGGCCCTTAATGAGAAGTTTAAGAGGGGAAACACCAGCATGAGGTGAAGGGCATAGCTTAATCGAACTATGTCATTGAGTACGGAACCGAGTGCTGAACCAGAATTTTGGTCAAAATTAACAAGTATGTCGAACATGATTGATTCGCCAAAAAGAAGGTATCCAAAGATCCCAACAGTGAAGTAGATGGTACCACATAGTATGAGTGAAATTCGGACTGCCTTCATCATGTCAGAAGGTTTGTCCATCTCTAAACCAATCGGATGAACTGCATTCATTCATTCATTAAAGGCATTTATGAGAATGTTAGGGACAGGAGCTTCGTACTTGGCTAATCTTTCATGAACTAACCAGAATGAAAACAAGCACTTATAAGAATGCCAGGGCGTCCTTACCATTGAAATGAAATGTGAAAGCTGTTACAATGACTGGAACAGCGGTGAAGAGTTCGAAAAATGAGGCTCCATTGTCCAAGTAAGGCAGCAGTCTTGGCCTTTCGGCTTTCCCTTCAAAGAGTGCAGTTATTGCCATAACAGAACTGATGGCAACAAACAGAACGGCAAGAAAAACTGCTATTGCAGAACTGAACCTTAATGCTTCTGCAAATTCAGCCCAATTTGACAGAAAAGAGTCTTGAGGACAAACTCAATATCGTGACATAAATGATAACTAATCGGTTCTCTATATAGAACTTACCTACACGCCTATATAGAACCAATGGAAGCATAATGAAAACAACAATGAAGAGCATTGAAACGGCACGGGAGTTCCACCAGTGAACGCCAAACCATTCTTGTAAGACCCCTAAATGCACAGATCCTTCAGGTTGATTTCCTGAAAGAACATCCCCTGAAAACACAGTTCTAATATATCAGAACAGTTATGATAACAGCTCAATCTTATCTTTCCCAAATCACAAACTAAATTGAGGAAAATTCCAAAAATAACTTGAACCACTCAAATAGTATTACACTCTTATCTACAATCTACAGAGCCATTCAGATAATAACACTTATCCAGAATCTATTCAACTCACTAGTTGCAAAATAACTTCAACAGGTTAAAATTAGCTTACCAAAATCAGACTAGATTGCTGAAATTCTGTGAAACCGATGGACTTACCAATAATAATTAAATAAATGATCAAGCAACCGAGATTATTCATGACGACGCATAACTGCACCAGGAACGATCCCACCGGCCCAAACGACTCCTTCATGACGCCGGCGTAAGTGGTTGACTTCCCAGCACGTGTATACCTCATCAGAAATTCGACCGATACGTCTGCTAGCCAAGCTATAATCACTATCAACAGAAACGCCGGAACGACTCCTAGCACCTTGAGAGTTGCAGGGATCGACATAATTCCAGCACCGATAATGGTAGTCGAAACATTGAACACCGCACCGGACACCGATGTATGCGTTCCCGCCGTCTTGCTCTCCCTAAGGAGCGGTGCGTTTGCTCTGGTGGTGGCCGAAGGAGACATCCGGTGGTATGGAATTTTCTCTAGTTTTGGAAAATTTGTAGTTGGGGTTATCCTGGGTTATAACACATTTATTGTGAAAAGAGAAGATATGGGAAGGGCAGTGAAATGACTAAATTGACATATGAAGAAAAGGACACGTGATTTAATAATAAGATAATGTAATGAGATTAGTGGGAATCATTTATGAGTAGAGAACAGCTTGGCTGCGTTTGTCTTATTCCACGAATATGTGGCGAATGGTAATTTCGAGTTGTCTGAGACTGAATTTTCTTCGTATAAAGCCAAAGAGATAATTGTTTCAAACTTTCAATCTAGTGTTTCGCTTTCAGGAGTAAAACGTGAGAATTTTATATGCAAACAACCAAGTGGTAAAAAGTTAAAAAAATCACATCTATTATTAATGATTATTCAAGTACGCATAAAAATGTGATTTTATGTTAAAAATATAAATTTATTAAATTTTAAGAATGTAAATTTATAAATTTTAAAAGTAAAAATAAATTATTAATACAAAATATAAAAAAATATTTAAGTTATATAAAAATTTCAAATATCGACCATCTCATTCATAAGTTATCTATAGATTCAAGTCCACCTTTTTTATACTATTTTTGACAACAAACGTACATCTAACTTACAGACGCAATTATTTGAATTCAAAATTTTTAAAAATAACAATATTTTTTTATATATTTTTAATAACCTGAGGTGATTACAAGATAATTTTTATTTAAAATTTTGTTAATCTGTTGACATGACATATATATTCTATGAACACCGTTGCCCGAATTCAAGACTTTTAAATATATCAATATTCTCTTTTATGAGTTGATTATTTTTAATTTGGTATAATGAAGTGTAATGATATGAACATGGAATTAATCAATTAGAAAAGGATGAGGGTTTCGACGAAAAAGAAAGTGGTTATAGTTCAATATTTCAATATATGCATGTGCATATGCTTCCAAACTGTTGGGCCTATTTACTTAAAAAGAGATATTATTGGTTATTCAATGAATTTCAATAATTCAGAGCAGGCAAGCATTGGTTAATAATGTTAAAAAAGAAACGAAGAAGCGTGGCAATCTTATCAAAGATGTTTGGGTTATATGTTCCAATGCCCAAACTTAAATCAGAAAGAGACTAAGCCATGCGCTGTCCAAACACTTTTTATTATTATTAATCTCATATAAATATAAAACTATATATATATATATATATATATATATATTCACATATAACTTTTAACCATTTAATATTAAACTTTTATATATATGATATTCATGATACTCGAACATACGATATAAAATAATAGCAATAATTTTTTAACCATTAAATTCGTTTGATTTGTGTGTATCCAAGTATTGTATATATAATCCCACAATATATTATTTACTTCACTGATCAACTTCAAACAGTGCAGGGTGATCACTTATATAAGCCGCTAACCTTAGGTTTCTGTCCATAATCTTTTCAATGTTGAAACACCTTATTGTTATTATTATTATTATTATTATTATGAGTTAATTGTATCATATGTCTTTAAATTATAATTTTTATTTTAAATTGGTCTACAAATTTTTAAATATATTAATTTCATTCCTAAACTATGACTCACATTTTAAATAGTCCTTAATTTTGTTAACATTTCAATTTTATCCCCATATTTACCCAAATATGTAATTAGTTTCAACAATAGTTTAACCTAGATTTTATTTTTTTCCAAACATATAATAATATAGCTTGGACCAACAATTTGATTAACAAGGGGTGTGATTAGTATATACATATATTTGGGATGAACTTGAAATATTCAAAAAGTTTAGGGACCAATTTAGAATGAATGACATAATTTGGGAATGAAACTAAAATATTCAAAAATTTGAAGATTAATTTGAAATGATAGTCATAATTTAGGAGTGAAATTAGAATGTTTAAAAAAAATAGAAACTAATTTAGAATGAGTTACATAATTTGATAATGCAATTAACCCTATTATTATCCGAATTGTCTAGACTATAATATATAATCACTTAACAATTCAAACTAAAATATCTTTATTTATTTTTAAAATAATATTGTCTTATTTAATTTATTTGATCGAAATGTAAGATTATATGTCTATTTAACAACATTTTTCTGTTAATTTAAAATTTGATCAAATTATTCAAACTTTGTTGGATTTGATTAATATTTTATTTTAAAAATTATTTCAATTAACGATTAAAAATTAATTAATTTGATTTGGCGGTGACCAAATTAATCGTTTAAACACTCGTACAATTAATATATTCAAGCCAACCTCACTACACCTCTTTAAACCCTTCTTTTCTATCGACAACAGTTTAAGTTTGCAATTTCATTTGTTTTGATTAATCTAGGATGCTTTTAAGTAGTAGCATCTGTTCTAAAAACTCTCAATTATTTGAGAATGACAACTCAAATATCCTACAATCTCTAATGTTCAAACCTGAGACTTTTAAGAATAATAATTATTCCTTTAACCACTAAGATAACTTAATTCGTATCTAATTTGGAAATTCATTAACACTACATTGGCCACCAATTTTCATGCTACAAATGGTTCATTTAACAGCAAATTGATCAAGCTCTCAACTAAATGCGTATAGGTAGTTGAGTTTGCATGGTGACTGTCCAATGTATGAAGAAAATGCAAAGGTATTTTATTAACAAACAGTTCATTTTCTTTCTTTTTTAGACATGAAAATTTGACTATGTGTTATTTTGTTTAGTTAGGTATATACTTTAAAGTTCATAATTTTTTATATAATTATTTATATCTGATTTATTGATCAATATGATTGTTAGATTAAAATCAATAATCGTGGGCATATATGTATAATGTACAATATAAAATTAAGTGATCAATTATGATACATATATCATAGGTATTAAAGTGTCATGAAATTAAAATTAGAATCGTTATAATGTACAATATAAAATTAACATGAATTTTAGACTCCCTTGCATGATGTTTTGGGGTTTCAAAAATAAAATAAAAACAAGTTTGGGTTTTAATTTTATTTATTTTTATTCCAATGAGTTATTTTTATTTTTGAGTTAAATGATGACTTATTTTACCCCTCTTCTATTTACCCACAACGACAGTTCGGACTTGAGATCATATAAGAACGTTTGTTTAAAGAATCGAAAGCTGCGGTAAATTGAATTTGGAAGCACCAATGTACAACTCACAGAATCCCGGCAGCGCGTTAACTGACACGCGCTTCTCAGACCTTAAGCCGCCTCTCTCTGAACCTGTTATTGAAGCCTTGTCTCTTGCTGGCTTTAATTTCTGTACCCCAGTCCAAGCCGCCACCATCCCGCTGCTATGTAGCTTCAAGGACGTAGCTGTGGACGCCGCCACTGGCTCTGGAAAAACCCTAGCTTTCCTTATCCCTATCGTAGAGATTCTTCGTCGATCCTCGTCTCCTCCCAAACTTCACCAGGTTCTTTCCTATTCACTGAACAAATTATTTTTGTGCTGCCGTGTCATTGGGTTGTATTATTTCTGCTGAGAAGAGACGGGGAAATTATTAGATGAAGAAAAGAAGAAAGCTTCTTTCTCTCAATCCCCTTCTTCCAAATGATAAAATAATTGCTTCTATTTGGTGCTTAGAATTTGCCTTATTTCAAGTTTTGATTTTTCCGCAGGTAATGGGTATAGTTATATCACCTACAAGGGAGCTTTCGTCTCAAATATATAATGTAGCACAGCCTTTCATTTCGACATTGTCTAAAGTAAAGTCCATGCTTCTTGTCGGAGGTGCTGAGGTAAAAGCGGATATAAAGAAAATCGAGGAGGAAGGAGCCAATCTACTGATTGGCACGCCTGGTAGACTGTACGACATAATGGACCGGATGGGTGTCTTGGATTTTCGTAGCCTTGAGGTTGTTATTCTTATTCAAATTGCTAGTTTGTTTTATCCTCACTATTTAATGTCAAAGACTCAAAAGGCTAGAAAGAAATGTTTCCGTTTAATAACAGTTGCTAAATACTGATTACCTAGATTTGTAGAATGTTAAGTTCTTCCATCACAGGTTTGGTTACTAATGAAAACATGAGTATAGTTTTTTATGCTATTCTTTTCATACACTCCATGCAATTCTCTGTTGCTTTTTGGTTGGTGCAGATTCTGATTTTAGATGAGGCTGATAGGCTTCTGGATATGGGATTCCAGAAGCAGATAAACTCTGTTATATCTCGCTTACCAAAGCTTCGAAGGACTGGCCTTTTCTCAGCTACTCAAACAGAGGCAGTTGAAGAGCTATCTAAAGCAGGATTGAGGAATCCAGTGAGGGTTGAAGTTAGAGCTGAGACGAAGTCACTCAACAATTCAGCTTCATCCGGGCAATTAGCTTCATCGAAAACACCTTCAGGCCTTCACCTTGAGGTATACTAAACTTCCATCTATTTCTGATTACCCTTAATTGATTGAACATTTTGGCTTTGCTGTTATGTTTTTCTATGTCATCCTTTAGTCACAACTTCGTTTATAAGGCCACCATGTTTGCATGTTCTAAAACATTTTCTTTTTAGCAGCTGAAATCGTATTGGAATTTTCAGTTACTTATGAGTTTGTTTTACTTTCATTCTGTAGTACTTGGAATGTGGTGCAGATAAGAAAGCATCACAGCTTGTTGATCTCCTCATAAAAAACAAATCTAAAAAAGTCATAGTGTAAGTTATACATAAAGATTTCCCTTATGGTTTTCATTTTACAAAAAGGACAATTAGGTTATGTTGGTTATCAAATGATTTATTTACTTATGCAGATATTTCATGACTTGTGCTTGTGTTGATTATTGGGGAGTTGTTTTCCCACGTCTCACGGCTTTGAAGGGATTCTCATTAATTGCTTTACATGGAAAGATGAAGCAGGTAAAATAATAGTGTCAGTATTGCTTGTCCATTAATAATTTGGAAATACATGAACTGATTATTTGCATCCTGATGTATTTACTCTTTTTCTGATCTATAGACTGCAAGGGAGAAAGCATTAGCT